TACTGTAAAATACACACTTTTTCTTGTATCCGTCTGATTTTAAGTGAAATCAGTAAGCACGTTTTCCTTTATGCCATATTCCTATTTGTAATAATACTGCATATCATTCCATCACCAAATTTATGTGCATTAACATGCTCATTTTCAAATCCAATTTTTAACATAACATGCCATATCGAATAATAGCTATGGTCATCTAGAAATTATTTTTTCCCTCTATGAACTGACTTAAGGTGGAATGCCACACCAACTTTAAACTTTTTATTTTATAGATCTTTGAGACATCTTTTTTAAGCAATGGTTTCAGCACTGAAAGGCCGATAGTAGCTCTTAATCATTTTATATTAATTTTTTTGTATTTTTTCAAAGAAAATGAAAAAAAAAAATTTATATCCAAATAAGTTGTTTTCGAGTTAAAAGTTTTCTGTAAATGAATGCATCATATGAATATCTTATAAAATATGTAAAGAAAGGCTGGTTAGACTTTTTATAAAAAATTATTTATGAAAATTAAACACAAAATTTGTGAATATTAATTAAACCTATGGTTAAAAACACCATAAAAGTAGTCACAACTAAGGAAAGTGTGTTTGTCAATCATAATTTTAAAAGAAATTGAAACAAAATTGAGAATTTTTATAGAAATTAATTTTTTTAATATTTGGACCTAACCCAATCAAAATTAAACTGATCCCGATCAAAATTAACACAAAATGAAAAAAATGCTAATTTATTGCCTCTTCATGTATTTACAATGAAGAAATCTATTTTATTGTCAGGTTCAATAATGTTTTAACCCTTAATTATAACACCTAATCAGACTAGTGTTCATGGGGAAATGTTATTTATTTCCACTATTTGTACAATTATGGTTGGGATCGGTTTAATTTTGATTGGGATTGGCCAAAATTAATTTCTCTAAATTTTGGCTATTTTGTTTCAATTTCTTTTATAGATATGATTAATGAACATGTTCTCCCCAGTTGTGACTGGTTTTAAGAAGGTTTTAACCACAAGTTTTAAAAATATTCACAAATTAAGTGTTTTATTTTCATAAATATTTTTTTATTTAAAAAAATGTTAATATCTATACGGCTTTTCTTTACATATTTTATTAGGTATTCATGTGATGCATTCATTTACAGCAAAATTTTAATAAGAAAGCATCTAATTTGGATGCAAATAATTTTTTGAATTTTCTTTGAAAAAATACAATAAAATTCATATAAAATAATTAAGAGCTAATGTCAGCCTTTCAATGCTGAAACCATTGTTTAAAAAGGTTGACTCAGAGATCTATAAAATAAAAAGCTGGTTTGGCATTACTCCTTAAGATGGACTGACTCAAAATTTTTTAAACCTCCAGTAAACAATTTTTTTAAAAATTAAATTCAAAGTTTTCTCTTTCCACTGATAACTATTTTAATGTCACAATTTTACAAGTATATTTGAATAAAAAAAATTCCCCCCTACCTACCAACTCAGTTGTTTTATCCTGAGTGGAGATGGCAGGCAAACCCTTTTTTAAAAGATGACCTATCGTTACTGTAAACATTATTTATACATGTTGTGTTTTTGCCTTTGTACAACTACAAACATTTTTAAAACAAAAAAAAAGAACATGTGTTTGCGATTCATGTTCTTTTTAATTGTGTAATATATAGATATAAGCATAATAACTGCAATTTTTTTTTGTTTTGCTAATACATGTAAAAATGTAGCTATAAAAACAATGTTTAAATTCATTACTAAGTGTAGCAAACAAGAAACAACTCCAAAAGTAATAAGCTGCATGTTTTGGCTTGCAGTGGTGCGAGTTTGGATAATTGTGTGTGGTGAAAAGTGCCCCTTGTGAACCAAGCTCATTAGAATAACATGTAAGAAAAGATATACTGTAGATCACTAAATTTTCGCGACACCTTATTTTCGCGAGATAGTCATTGAATGTTGATTAGCGAGACAAATTTTTTGCGATTTGTGGTTATTGCTCTATACAGTAAAACTCGTTTAGTACGAACACGGATATTGCGAATTTACGGATATAGCGAAGTCATCTCGGATCCCCAGCTATATAAATTTAATAAATTTCTTATACGGTTATAACGAATTACGGATATAACGAAGTAATTTCATAGGTCCCAGTAACTTCGTTTTAACCAAGTTTTGCTGTATAATCTTAAGGAATACTATGATACGCGAGAATTAAATTTTCGCAAGCACACCGTCTCTCGCATAATTACGCGAAAATAAAGTTCTCACAAATAAAAAGTGATTTACAATAATTCAAACTAAAATCTGTTGATTCAACAAGCTTGTCTCGAGACTGACTCTTGATTTTACAGAGTGGAGGAGGAGGAACAAGAGCCAAGGCAGGAAGAAAGCAAAAAAAAACCCTCCCATTTCAGAAAGTGTTGTGATTACATGAAGTTTTAGTTCAAAGTGCATTAACACTTATCGATGAACAGAGAAAAATGGAGGAAAATTTTTAAGTTATGGTCCATCTACCGGTATATCTTAAAACTTACTCTATTTTAATACATACTAAATGTATGAACTACAGTTCATTTGATGATTTCTTTAATTAATGAAATTTAGATGACTGCAATTCTTAGTAAACAAATTGGATCAAAGCTTTGAAAAATAAACACTAATATTTTTAAATATCATTTTAATCATGGACATGTTTGTTTGTATGTTGTTTGACTTCCTTCTCAAGAATTTTTCTCTCATATGGAAATGCCACCATTTGCCAATGGAGAGCTGCAAATTTTGTCCTGTACTTGACACTTACGGCCATTGAGCAGGGAGGGATCTTTTTGTGCCAGCTACTACATGTACTTCGACACTGGACCTCAATTTATACAATTTCATCTGAAGGACCAGTCTTTACGCCCCATAGTGGGATTTGAACCCGTTTTGTAAGAACCAACTCCTTACTCTGCAATCATGGAGCAGACGCTCTTAACACTGTGCTATGCCACAGACCTATTGACAAGCAACTTATATACCACGACTATTGCCGAGATCAAAGAAATAACCGCGGACATTATTCTCCAATAAATCACGAACGTCATCAAAAAATTATCAGATCAGAAACACGTATCAAACCTGCGTAGCTGTTGAAATGTAAATTTGACTTAAGAATGAAATATATATTTAGACCAATATGTCGTCTTTTGCAATTTAAACACTGTATATTGCAGTAAGTAGCTGATAAATTAGGTTTCTAAAGCGAAGCGGGGCTGTTTCATGGACCTCCCTACGCCATATTTAAACCCTGTGATTTTAGTGATAAAGTGGTGGAAAAGGAAACTTATCTTGTTATTGTATATTCCAAAAGATTAATCTATATAAGCTTTAAACATATTTTCAATTAATAAAAGGCTAATTTTAATGAGGCAAAAGCACAAATCGTCTGCATTCTATTCACAGGTAAACAAACAAAGTTACACTCTGGTGGTAAATGGAACAGCGTTATTGCAGCCTGTTGACCGAATTCGTTTCTCTATAGAGAAACGATCAGCCGTATTTCACTACTACATAGTAGAATAGAAATAAAGTCCTTGTTGTCGTGAATGATGCAGAATAACCTCCTCGGTCTCGAAATGTTGTTTGAAATATAAAAGCCTCGGCTTTTATCTTTTAAACAACATTTCTTGACCTCAGAGGTTATTCTGCAACATTCACAAAAATGCGAACTTTATTTCTTAATCAAATAACGTCATGTGACATCATGATTCATATTGATTCTTTATTGAGAAGTAGAGATTATGTGTCAATGTTTCAAGAGACCATGTCCCATGCAGTTGAACAGGTTGGAACCAATCGCCCAAATGGGTTATAATAATCCGTTTGGGATATAATATCCCAAATGGGCTATAAATTTACAGTGCAAAAAATGAAAATTTTTATTTTGCCTATAAATATCATAAATCCACATCAGAACACTTAAAATGGAATAACTTTTGGTTGACAACTTTTTCTGTATGCCCATTAAGCCATAATAAAAATATTCCTAGATTCTCATCCTGGCCCGCCCCGATTTTATATCCCCGCCTCGATTTTTTTTATTTCTGTTTTTCTTGTCTTAATTCTGATCGGGTTCGGTATTCATCTACCATTCTACTTTTATTTGAAATCCCGCGAAAGTCGACATGATTTTGACAGCTGAAAAGATGGTAATTGCTGTAATACATGCGTATATATTTTAAACAAAGGGTCATTGGTTGAAAAAGATTGGTGATGATGTGAAGTAAGAGATAATTGAACCTTTACTATGACTTTTATTCGGGTATTCTAGATAAAATTACATCGATTGACCAGGTCAATAAAAAATCTGCAAAACTGAAAAAATAAAAAATATAAAATAAAAGCCGTTCACCCGCCTCTATTTTTAAAAAAATTCGGATGAGAATCTAGCAATTTATTTATTATGGCCTTGTTTAGAAGATTGATTCCTCGGAAGTTGCATAACTTCTTGGGGATCAATCTTACAAACTGTAGGGTTGCAGAAAAACTTATGATTTATGATATTTTTAGCCAAAATAAAAATTTTCATTTTATGCACTGGATATTTTATCCCAAACGGACTATTATATCCCATTTGGGCGATTGGTCCCAACCTGTTGAAGGTGTAAAGAATCAGATCAAAGTTGCGAGAATAAGCTGTGTGAATCTACGCTCACCCAAATGGTTACACCATAAAACAAATAAAAGCTATATTATATATTTAAAATGTCAACCTATACACCAAAAATAAAATCAATCTGGGCCTAAGCCTGAGAATTTTCAGGTCCCTTTCTCCCAGCTTTAATCATGCTATGGTAAGATATTACCGTGTGTATACATCTATTTTTAAAAGGCTTCATTGTATAGATATGAATGGATATTTGATAAGTCTGTATTCTCAATATCATGCACAATTCATATGGATACAATTTTTAGTGCCTATGTGTCAAAATAAGTGAGTGATAAATGTCTTGAATGTGTTTTTATTTTAGTTCTCTGGCTTTACTCACCAGCACCCGACGGTCCCGGGGACACTGTAGATGACGCTGACATACGAGGTATTCTCTATTGACTACAGAAAGTATGAAAACTTTGTTTATTTTCTCCTTTGCTTTGATGTTGGAAATTTTACAGGAAACAAACAATTCTCGTCCAAAACGAGATCAAAATAGAACACGGTGTAAAAATTCAGAATTCGGATAAAACGGATCTTGATTGTTTCCCTTTGAGGAACTCTTCCTACAGTGTAGATGCCAACATGGCTAAACAAGAACGAGGGGTTGTGTCGGCAAAATGTAAGCTGATTTATTTAAAAGTTCTGTATTTTTAGGTCACCTGAGTAAACTCAGGTGACCTATTGCTATCACTTTTCGTCCGTCGTCGTTCGTCGTCCGTCGTTTGTCGTTCGTCGTTCGTCGTGCGTTAACATTTGAACATTTTCAGCTTCTCCTCTGAAACCACAGACCCAATTTCAACCAAATTTGGCATATAGCATCTATGGGTAAAGGGGAACAAAAATTGTGAATTTCATGGTCCCTGCCCCCCTGGGGCCTGGGGGGTGGGGCAAAAACCACTAAAATTAGTGCAATCTTTAAAAATCTTCTTCTTTACTCCTGGACATCAAGCAGTCAAACTGTTTGCATGATTGTAATCAGCATTGAGTCCTCTACCAAAATTGTGAAATTCATGGCCCCGGGGTCATGGGTTCTAGTGCTAGGGCGGGGCCAAATAAGTATATAGTGAAAATGCATTATTTCTTTGAAAATCTTCTTTTCTAGTGCTGGGTATTAAATAAACCTACTAAGTACATAGTTATGATGAGCAAGAGTGCCTCTACCAAAATTGTGAATTTTATGGCCCCAGGGTCAGGGGTTCTTGTGTAGGGGGGGGGCTCTATAGATTATATAGTGAAATTACATGAATTCTTTGAAAATCTTCTTCTCTGCTTCTTGATATTAAATAAACTAACTATGTGCAAAGTTATGATGAGCAAGATTGCCTCTACCAAAATTGTGAATTTTATGGCCCCAGGATTAGGGGTTCTGGTGTAGGGGTGGGGCTCCTTAGATTATATAGTGAAAATTCATGAATTCTTTGAAAATCTTCTTCTCTGCTCCTGGGTATTAAATTAACTAACTAAGTAAATAGTTATGATGAGCAAGATTGCCTCTACCAAAATTGTGAATTTTATGGCCCCAGGATTAGGGGCTCTGGTGTAGGTGGGGGGGGGGCTCTATAGATTATAATAGTGAAATTACATGAATTCTTTGAAAATCTTCTTCTCTGCTCTTGGATATTAAATAAACTAACTAAGTGCATAGTTATGATGAGCAAGAGTGCCTTTACCAAAATTGTAAATTTTATGGCCCCAGGGTCAGGGATTCTGGTGTTGGGGGGGGGGCTCTATAGATTATAATAGTGAAATTACATGAATTCTTTGAAAATCTTCTTCTCTGCTCCTGGATATTAAATAAACTAAGTAAGTGCAAAGTTATGATGAGCAAGATTGCCTCTACCAAAATTGTGAATTTTATGGCCCCAGGGTCAGGGGTTCTGGTGTAGGGGGGGGGGGGCTCTATAGATTATATAGTGAAATTACATGAATTCTTTGAAAATCTTCTTCTCTGCTCCTTGATATTAAATAAACTAAGTAAATGCATAGTTATGATGAGCAAGAGTGCCTCTACCGAAATTGTGAATTTTATGGCCCCAGGGTCAGGAGTCCTTGTGTACGGGGGGTCTATAGATTATATAGTGAAATTACACAGATTCTTTGAAAATCTTCTTCTCTGCTCCTAGGAATGAAATAAGCTAATTACATAGTTATGATGAGTAAGATTACCTCTTCCAAAATTGTGAATTTTATGGCCGTAGGGTCAGGGGTTCTAGTGATAGGGCGGGGCTCTATTGATTATATAGTGAAAATACATTGAATCTTTGAAAGTTTTCTTCTCTGCTACTTGGTATTAAGCAGATGAACTACCTATATAGTTATGATGAGCAAGGGTACTAATCTTCCAGTATTGTGAATTTCAAGGCCACAGGGTCAGGGGTACCATAAAGGAGATAGGGGGGCTGTACTTATATAATGAAACTGGATGAATTGTTCAAAATATGCTCCTTGGTATTAATCAAATATTTTTGAAAAACAAGGGTGCCTTTTCAAAAATTGTGCAATGTTTGGATCTAGGCCTAAGGGTCAGGGGTTCATGTGTGATTGGGGCATTACTGATCATGCTGAATATTACTGATTACTTGAAATGCATTTTTTGTTCCCCTACCCTGCCTATGGGTATTAAGTAAACAAACTAAGCAACTGCTAAGTGTATTGTTATGATGATCAATGGGGCCTCTTTCAAAATTGTGAATGTCGTAGCATCTGGATTAAAACATGAATCAAATTCAATCACTGGAAAGTTGTTGCATAATGCTCAGGTGACCTATAAGGCCCATGGGCCTCTTGTTTAATTAAGCTAATATAAAGCTGAGCATGATTAAATACCATATTATTTCAAATGCAATTTCAACTTGTAAACCATCATTCACTCCATACAGTAAAACACATTTATAACGAACTTGATTACAGCGATAACTTGCATATTACAGAGGTTATTTTAAATTTTTGTCCAAAAAAAAAAACTTTACAGCACATGCACTTGTTTTTTTTTTAAAGTTTTTTTTTCCATGGTAAAGTACAGGTATCAGTCCCACCACAAGGTACAGACACTTGTTTTATACAAACGCCATAATACGGGGCACCCCTACTTATTTTTACCACAAGGTACCTAACTCAATTTCAGGCACCCCGGCTTCAAATTCGTATCTAGATATGTTTTACGGTGTGACCGTTGGGGCGAGCACAGTTATGTTCTATCATAAACCTATATACACATGTACTGCCTATGTGACTTTCAAGAAAAAGAAAGAAAAAAGAAGAAAACAAAACAATAAAAAGAAATCACTTCCCTAGCATTGGGATCGAGATTCCGAACTTCTCGGAAATTTCTGACAAAATCGAAAATACCCAAACCGTTTAAGTGACGAAAGTATGGCGTCAGATAAAAAGTCCTGTTGACTTAGGATGCAAACGATATACTGTAGAAGTACTTTTATCCGCGTGGTATTAATTTACGCTATGTACGGGGTCACAAATTTTCCGCGGAAATTTGTCCAAGCGTACTTAATACAAATGTATGGCATATAGTGACAATCTAGAAAATCCGCGTAATTTTCTTTCCGCGTATTAAACAGAAATTGAGATTCCGCGGAATTATGACCCCGTGGAAAAAAGTACGTCTACAGTAGTTTTGTGGCATGGAGATTGCATTAAATCATTGTTTGTAATTTTTTTTCAAGTAAGTTGTTGCTAGTGTTTTAGCCACCATGTTACTATGCACCTCAAAGGATTATTGGGAGTTTGGAATTTTTTCACGTGGTGCGATAAAAATTTCTTGCAACAATGTGCAGATTTCAACACGAATTTCCTCCGTTCGTACACATTAGTCTATTGAGCTCGCTGCGCTTGCTATTAATATACCAATCATTAGCCTATTTTCAGATGGCATCATTTACTTTATTTTTTTCTTCTTAATATTGTCAATTGCATTGCTTCAGACATCTCTGGTTGGGCCTCGATTTTTATTGTAAACCATTCATTTCTTCCTCTAACCTTGATACAAAATAAGACTGAATGGGATACAAAAGCTTCCAGTCGGGTTATAAATGAAGGATTAAACCAGAGACCTCCAAGTATTCCATTCCGAGGTCTCTTGTTTTATATCCTTCATTTATAACCCCAACTGAAAGCTCTTGTTTTCTGTTTTCTTGTAATTTAACCAATTCACTGCCACTGCTAGTACTGAGCTAGATGTTTTAAATAATGATTCTCCTAAGACATACTTGAAATAGAGCCTCAACAATACACAGTTCAGATGAAAGTTAATTAATCCAAACATGCTCTTTTGGACATTTGTCGATCAAGATTAGAAAGGGAAAATTAAGTCACCCCAGTGTTTCACATTGTAATGTGGAAGATAGAAAGTGTTATCTTCAAATTAAGTACAAAGATCTGAGGTTTCCAAATTTATTTTTGCTTTCTCCCTCGTTTTATTATAGTATTTCTGAATTCTGACATATATGATTTAAAAAAAATAATTTTTACATATTCAGGGAGTAATCCCCAGTTGCCTCACTCTCAATAGTGTAATTAAATCCCCCCTAAAAAAAGCAGTATACTTTCAATGGAATTTTCCATCCTGTCATGCAGTGTGCAAGAACATTAACTCTTGTTGTTCCAGTATATACAAATCTAAGTAAAAATGACACATGTACCTTATTTCACACCTTTATCTAAACATTATCATTTAGAAGTGGGTTTATGCAAAGTAGTTCTGCTCATTATTTTTCATATGTTCATGTTGAACTTTGATGAAATTTTTATGTATCAATTTTAGCATTGCCTGTTCATGAAATGGATACCAACATATTGTTTGAGAAATTTACAGTGGAAGAAATTAGAGAAATTGAAAAAAAAACAAGGTTAGAAATGTTTGAATTATGATGAATGTGCTAAACTAGTGGAAATAAAACTCAATACAATTTAACTTATATGAGAAAAAATGAAAATACAATTATATCAATATACTGTCTATTTATATTTTCTTAGTTCTAATAAAAAATTTTTTGGATACTTTATCAAATATATCATTACCATGGTATAAACTTTTATGTGCAGAGCTGATATAGAGCGAAAGAAAGAGGATTTGCGAATAATGGTTGGGTATGTTAAATTAAATGGATATGAAATTATTTATCAATATCTGTATCATGTTGCATGTTAAAAATCTACATGTGTATGTTATATATAAATGGATATCTAAAGGAGAATCAAGAGATATTGAATTTAACTTCGTGATAATTGTTTTAAAAATTTTAATGTCTGAACATTGAATTAATATTATTTTTAAAAATGCAAGGAAAGTAACAAATCTTTCAATGTTTTATTCCATAGCAACATATTTATTTTCCAGTGAGAGATACAGAGATTTGATAGAAGCCGCTGACACAATCACAGAAATGAAAAACAGTGCACAGAACGTAGGTTTTTTATTCTAGTTTGAACACAATTTAGAAAACCAATACATATACATGTAGTTCCACTAGGAAAATCAACTTAACTACTTTTCACTACCCTATTGGTTTAAATATTCATGGCTACATTTCTTTATATCGATATGCACGTAATTAGTCCCTCTATAACAAAGTTCACAAAGTTTTTAAGAATCATCTGTTTTGATGTTGTAGTATTTAATGATCTGGGGACCAGTGTTGATTAAGAAATATCAGTATTATGATTACCTTTATATGTCTAAAATCAGAAACCAAGCACCAAGAAGTTGATTTAATGTTATTCTAGACCAAGCCTTGTGATTTAGAAAGGATGTCCACTAAACACTCCATTTTTTGTAGAGCAATATATGAATATTTATAATCATTCCAGGTTATGTCATCTATAGCCAAAATGGAGGAAATGTGTAAATCGTTAAAACAGCGGCACATGATAAAGGGTACATCTTTCCAGCAGAGGAAGGGTCAAGGTCAACAGGAGGGGTAGGACACTTTTATTTCTCCAGAATTAAACAACAGCATTTACGATGGCTGGTTCTCTCATTATGGACAGGGTCCTATTTCAGAACTGAAACTTTTTCAAACAGTTTTGAGAGTAAATTTCTCTGTTAGATGAATTTCAGCTTAGTCACATTATGTTTTAATTAAGAGATTTGTTTTTATTCTCTATTTACAGGAAGAAACAGGAAGTTCGTTTCTATGGCATTGCTTCTCAAATTAAGCTACTTTTGGACATGCCGGAAAAGGTAAAATTTTGTAGCAGCTACTTAAATATTTATGAATGTTTAAGTTAAATGTTTGCGTGTTTGTTTCAGTTATTGGTTTAATAGAACACATTCAACAAAAGCTACAATTTTCATGTGTTTGCTGACTTAAGTTAGTGTTTTGTGATCTCCAACCTATTGTTTGTTTTATTAGATATGTAGTGTTTTGCGATCTCTGACCTATTGTTTGTTCTGGTAGAAATGTAGTGTGTTTTGTGACCTCTGACCTATCATTTTTTTGGTAGATATGGAATTTGTCATATGACCTCTGACCTATTGCTTTTTGGAAGATATGGATTTTGTCTCGTGACCTCTGATCTATGGAATTTGGTAGATATGGAGTTTGTCTTGTGACCTCTGACCTTTTGTTTTTGTTAGATATGGAGTTTGTCTTGTGACCTCTGACCTATTTTTTTTTTTAGATCTGAAGTTTGTCTTGTTACCTCTGGCCTATCATTTTTTTGGTAGATATGGAGTTTGTCTTGTGACCTCTGACCTATTGTTTTTGGTAGATATGCAGTTTATTTTGTGACCTCCGACCTAACCTTATTTTCGTAGATATGGAGTTTATTTTGTGACCTCTGACCTGTTGTTTTTGGTAGATATGGAGTGTGTTTTTTGACCTCTGACCTCTTGTTTTTGGTAGATTTGGAGTGCGTTGGATGAGGAAGACTATTTAACTGCCACCAGGCACTTCCTGTTGTCACGCCACATTCACACAGGCCTACAACTGGAGTCCCAGAAGTCAGGAAATCTACTCACCATGTTCCCTGTACTAACTCGACAGTGGGCGGCCATTAGTCATTTTAGGTCTACAATTCTCCAGGTATTTTTTTTTTTAATTATTTTGCTTATTCTGTACTGGGTATATTTCTTTCTATTCATCTGGCATATCTTTAATGAATGCATCATATTTTGACAGGGATGTAGAACTGTTTTAAAGCAAGCAAGTGCTACAGATGAGGTAAGGAGACATTTATTATTCATTGTTGATATTGACAATTTTCCTGTTCCTAGCCATATTCTCTTCCTTTTGAGTCAAGAAAAGATTTATAAAACACACATTTTTAACTAAAATTTTATAAATCTGCAATTATTCAACAAACTAAATGTTTGTTGATCATGCACAAAAAGCAAAATTTCTTTGGTAGTTTCCAAGCATTTCTGTCAATGTTAATACATGTATTGTTATACTCTTTTTAGCAAATAGCCCGAGCCCTGTGTTCTATAATTTTACTAGAAGACAGCACACCAAGACAAGTATTCAATGAGTTCCTGTTAGCCAGAACTGTGAGTAAAGAGCTTATCTTGCTCAGACATTTTTTTTCTGTTACTTAATTCTTAATTAGACACAGTCTACCTAAAATAAGGCACTTTTACTGAAATATGATTATGAAATTCTGGTTTCAAATTTAAAATTTATATGAATTTGTCCTCGAAGTCTGTATGTTAGAGCATGATTTAACACAGTACTGCAGATTTATAGCAGTCTATATTATCCTAATTAGACAGCAGTACAGCAGCTGTTCCATCCGAGTCAGCAGAGTGTAAGTGTGAAGGATCAGATTTCTCTAGTGGTTCAGCTGATCACCACCACTGTCCATCAGATCCACACAGTCTTCTACAGCCCAGAAAGCCCATCAGACAGTAAGTACCCATCACACAGTCTTCTACAGCCCAGAAAGCCCATCAGACAGTAAGTCCATCACACAGTCTTCTACAGCCCAGAAAGCCCAGCAGACATTAAGTGTCCATCACACAGTCGTCTACAGCCCAGAAAGCCCACAGTAACTGCCCATCACACAGTTAAATCTGAGGGATGATCCAGACCTTGATATCAGAAATAAATAGAGGCAGATCTTTAGAAATCCATAATAAAGAACTAAAGACCCACATATTGTAAAAACGTTATATTTATGGCAAAAAATGATGAGGTGCATTTTACCAGCTGAAGTATGGTTTCCATCAATTAGACACACATTTTTCTCCTATTCTTTTCACTGAATTATATACTGTAGATGCACAAATTTTTGTGGGTATAATTTCGCTGATTTATCATCTAAAATAGTTTTGTGGGCATTTCATTTCATTTTTTTTAAAGTAACCCTAATCAAAATAGAGTCATATAAAATTTCATGTAGGGTATAATTTTGTTGATAATTGTTAACAAGGAAATAAACGAAATTTAACCCCCCAACAAATATTTATGCTTTTACAGTATACTGTAAATCACTTTTTATTAGCGAGAATTTTATTTTTACGCGATGCTTGCGAAAATTTCATTCTCGTGTATAATAGATTTCCTTATGATTATATAGTGCAATGAACAGAATTCGTGAAAATTTTGTCTAGCTAATAAAGAGTCAATGACTCTCTCGCGAAAATAAGGTGTCGCGAAAATTAAGTGATCTACAGTATATTCAAAGTTCAAAATACCCTATGCGCCCTTGAAATGTCATTGTTGTACAAACTTTGCCTTCGGACAGCCATGTTGTTGTTAGACTAAAGCTAAAGAAACTGAATTTCAACTGTATTTGTTTCCTTTCAGTTCCCTGTAATCTGCTTCTTGGAATTCTAACCCAGGTTACATCTGAGAAACAACAGGGTATGTGTTATCATTACCTGTATGTATATGCTATCATTGTTGGCCAACATGCACACTGCTGTGCGATATTTGCAACCTTTAAAAATATAAATTATGCTCAAAATGTCTTTAATATTCAGATTTTTTATTACAGACAGTGGATTATTAGAGACTCATGGCTCCATGTCTGCTAAATGCTTGCCAAGATCTGTATTAGGTATACCTCAAGTCCATTCATACCTGATTTTAAATAAATATATATACATATGACATTGCATTATTGACATTAAGAGTAGTAAAACTAACTTGGTAACATTGATATTATAGACTTTGTGCCTACTTTGAGGTCCCATGCAGTACCAGTGTCTGTTCAGCATCTCCAGGACAACTGTCAGCAATGGATCAACACGTAACAAACTAATGAAAATTAGATCTTCCATCTGCTCCACAATTTTTCAGAACATGCAAAGAGCATGCTGTAAACATTTGTAAAGATGTAATCCTTGGTGGCTTTTAAGAAGATATGAAGAAGAATTTTCTTTCTATTTTGTAGTAGAAATGTCGTGTGAAAAAAAACCTCAAAAGTTCAATGCTTTCTCTTTATTCCAAATTCTCATGTAATTTTTTTCCCTTTACAGATGTATGAGTAACGTGACTAGTGGTGTGGGAAAACTTCTCAGCTTTGTCAACACTGTCAAACGTTTAGCTGACATTCGCGATGAAGTATGGCTGTACTTAAAGCAAGTAAGTTAAAGCTTATTTGGTTTTTAGCTCAAGTGAGCTTTATTGAGTAAGGTCAGTGCCCTTTGTCCATTTTCTGACCAGTCGAATGATTTTTTAAGATTAATGAGTGGAAATATTAAGAAAACATATGAGTGATAAAATGAAGGTCAATTTATTGTTACTACACAAATTGTGGTCAACATTTTCCCCTGCCTGTTATTATAATAGGACCTATTCAGGTAACAGTCAGAGTTCATGGATCTCTTCAGACATAATTTTTAACCTTATTCATTTTATTTTTAAAATTATTTTGATTGGGTTATATATCAGACATATAATGATAACTGTACCATTGACCTGGGGACAATGATATGTAAATTACACACAACCATCGAATGACACAAGTGAATGTTTCACATGTCTAACACCTAATGGTTTAATCAATTAGATACAATTTATGTTCGGAAAATTAAAGATTTTTTGATTATAATAACTTAAGTAAATTAACACTTCAATTGAAGTTTTGGTCCCCAATCCAGTAAGACTTGGTAATAAAGATACATGTACAAGTAGAGTAAACTTAGCTACATAAATCAGGGGATGGGGGCATATAGCTCACCTTAGCTAATTTAGCTTTATCCTCTGCTTGCATATAACCTATCACATTAGACATAAGTGGAGATGTTAGTAGTGTTGTGTTTTTACAGGATAGCAGCATGCAGGCCTGGCAATCAGTTTGTCAGAGGATTCTAAACAAGCCATTGTCCATCTGGCATGGATTTCTACAACCACTCTTCATCAGCAGGGTCAAAGTAGGACAGAAAAATAATTCTTAAAGAGCTAGAAAAAAAAAGAAGCAAATCCAAAAATGTGAAATTTGTAAAAAAAAGTTACAATTTCTTAAAAAAAAAAAATTCCATCCAGTAGTTGATTATTTAATTGTCAATATTTCAGGCATTGATTAAGTTCCAGCTGGACACTAGTACTGAGCTGACCAAGCGACAGATAACCAAGGTTGTTATGACAATTGGCTCCACGGAGGAGGGGTAAGCCTTCAATTTCTCTGTTATAAAAACGGTTATGTATTTACATGTTATAGAAGGTTATGGTTATGTGATAAGACTGTTTGGGATATTTTTACACAGCTCAAACATTATTAGTATATTTGAATCCATGTTTTCTGTTTGTGCTTTAATGTATAGTGAACCCTTAAAATACTAACTACAGTATATATATCCTATGTTGAACTGATTTTTTGGACATATTTTAAAATAAAAATAAAGTAAGAGACAGATATAGCCACAAGAAAATATGAAAGATAAAAAAATAAAAAAGAAAGAAATGGCAAAATTGTTAACAAAGACTGAAAGTATCAGATTTTTGAAAACATGGGAAGATATTTTATAAGGATGGTGATTTTAAAGCACAGAATGGATGTTTGTTTTAGGTGTATAGCTGACACAGATCTGGCCGGATACATCTGGCAGGAGTCCCTGGGGGACATTCCTACTAACATGGCCTGGACCACCGCCACTTCTAGATCCACCTCCGATAATCCCGGGGGACTCATCATGAAAGCCAAGGCATTCACACCAGTCATTCAGAGGTTTCTTACTGTTTATATTTGAATTACACCAGTCATTCAGAGGTTTCTAACTGCTTCTATTTGAATTTTAAAATGAAACCATCTTTTTGACATTGGTGTGATGATGTAAAAATACTCGTCATGCATATATAAATGAAATCTTTGCTTTTTCATTTTATTTAAATTGTTGTCTAACCGGCAACATTTTCTATTCTGGCAAAATTACAAGGAATTAATGATATCGGGCTTATTTTACTCTATCACTTATACAACTATTGAGTTTTACTATACATGTATTATTTATGCAACTATACTGACCTTTCAATAATTTTTAAATCATGAAATATGAAGGTGTTAATAGTCACATTTTGAATTATTATGTCAATTGTTTGCTTTCAACTTGAATATAAGCTATTATTGATTTTTTAAAAAGTTTTGGCATCAAACAATATAATTTAGATCAATTAACACACATGTCTGTCAGACCATACAATTGATCTTTCATTTTGATCTACATTTTTCAGAATTACCCCGTATATACCTGGCCTTCTACATGTAATTCTATTTCAATTGTGCAAGAACAACTGCACTTCTATTGACTATGCCAAGCCTAAAAGTCTTTTGTTTGTGTAATATACCAGGGACCTACATGTATATACCAGTATACAGTATATACATGTAGGTCCCTGAATATACATGCAAAACTAAAATAATATATATTTAAAGTTCAGGTACTAATCTTCTTTTTCCTTTTTATTTAAAATACAAACTGCAGTCTCAGAAGAAACTTATGGTTAAGTTGTTGAACTCATCCTCTTTGATTTATTTCTTGCTTCGAACCAAAAGTCATTATAATTGATCAAGCCAAAATTTAAAATACCCCCATCTTTTGAAAAGTTTTGTGTTGTACCCCTTTGAAGTAATTTACATTAATCCATGTGATCTTTTTTATTATTTAACATTAGTAAATAGCAGTTAGTCAGTAGTATACTGTAAACAAAGAGAACTCTGATTGCCCCTCATCAATGCAGATATGATTGTAAAAAAATCAGCATGTAAAATGTACTTCTTATTGTCTAGTTTGGGCTTTGTTTTTATGAAATATTTTTTTCTGGCAGTTTATGTAAAACATTTGATGAGAAACTACAAGGAATGGTGCAGGATTCCCTGAGTTATCTTTCCTTGTCATGCGAGGAGGATCACAGAATGGCGGGACCTGAGCCGTTCGACCGTCTCTCTGACACGGACACGCTGTGTGAACACATACAGACAACCTGTAAAGCCGGCTTAGAAGAGTAAGGATTGTTATGATTTTACTTGTAAAAAAGTAAACAAATTATATACTGCTTTCACAATAAGAGGAACTTTGTGGCAGTTTAAAAAACTTCTGAATCAACAAACAGAAAGTAATTTTCATTTTCTTTGGGGTAGGGATGAGTGGGGGCTTGAAGGGAAATGTAAAGTATTTTATTTTATTTTCATAAAATTTTATTAATTGTACATTTTGCATAACAAAAGAGAAAGCATATTATAAGTATAGCACACATACATGCCAACTTTTGAAAATTCCCATGGGGGATTTAGCGACAATTTTCAAAGCTTTAAATTCGCGACATTTTGTCGTGAAATTAAATTGTTATGAAATGATCTTTTTTTAAATTTATAATTTTGATATCATTTATCAATACAACTTTTAAGGATTAATTTAACACAAAAAATAATGTTTTTTTTCCCAAAATTAAAATATTTTTGCTAAAATAGGTGCCTTCCTCACTAAAGAAGGGGTATTTAGTTATATATGTAAACAACATTTTTTTCTATCAGGACACATTATTTAGTAAAAAATTGAAAATTGTACAACTTTTAAATCATTTTTTTCAAAGGCTAAAAAATATGAGGTTTTGATACTGTAGATACTGTAAAGTCCTGTTTCTGGAATCATTTTTAGCTCACCTGAGCCGAATTTCAAGTGAGCTTTTCTGATCAAAATTTGTCCGTCGTCTGTCGTTGTCGTCGTCGTTGTTGTTGTCGTCGTTGTAAACTTTTCACATTTTCATCTTCTCCTCAAGAACCACTGGGCCAATTTCAACCAAACTTGGCACAGAGTATCCTTGGGTGAAGGGGATTCAAGTTTGTTCAAATGAAGGGCCGCGCCCTTTTCCAAGGGGAGATAATCATGAATTTGTTAAAAATTAATGGCATTTTTAAAAAATCTTCTTCTCCAGAACCGCTGGGCCAGGAAAGATGAAATTCATGTGGAATCATCCTCAGGTAGTGTAGATTCAAGTTTGTTCATATCATGACCCCCTGGGGCTAGGGTGGGGCCAAAATGGTAATGTTACCCAAGTTTTACATAGGAATATAAAGGAAAAATCTTTAAAAATCTTCTTCTCGAGAACCACTAGGCCAGGAAAGATGAAACTCATGAGGAATCACTCTCAGGTAGTGTATATTCAAGTTTGTTCAAATCATGACCCCCGGGGCAAGGTTGGGGCCAAAATGGCCGACCCAAGTTTTACATAGGAATATATAGGAAAAATCTTTAAAAATCTTCTTCTTCTCTGAGAACCACTGGGCCAGGAAAGATGAAACTCATGTGGAATCATCCTCAGGTAGTGTAGATTCAAGTTTGTTCAAATCATGACCCCGGGGGCTAGGGTGGGGCCAAAATGGCCGACCCAAGTTTTACATAGGGATATATAGGGAAACTTTTTAAAATCTTCTTTTCAAGTACTTCAAAGCTATGATTAGTGATATTTATATGGAATCATCCTGAGGTAGTGTAGATTCTAATTTGTTCAAATGATGAACGCCTGGAGGGGGGGGGATAAATTCAAGCCCGATGTGCTCAGGTGAGCGCTGTGGCCCCTGGGCCTCATGTTGAGATTTTTTATTTATATTTCAATTAATTAGAAATTCTAATAAGATATTAAATTTACAGAAATTTATACCACCTATCCAAAAGAGTATTTTTGTTACAGTCATGAAATGTGGGTATTTCCTGAAGTCATGCACATACCTAACATACAATATTACTTTTGGGAGAAGGGAGGGAAAAGAAATTCTAATTGACATACACTTAATTGTTTCATCTTAATTTTTTCATAATATTTTAACTGGCAAACTTTACAATATTTTTCAAAATCAGTGGCTATGCTTTGTAGTTTTCTACTTTCGTTTTCAAAAACGATCTCTTTGGATTCCGATTTTATGGTTTGATTAGTATTTTATTGTCTTCATTCATGTTTTTTTTTTTTTAAATGACTAACAATTATCAAATTAATCTATGTGTTTCACCTTGCATACCCCTTAAAACTGACAAGATAATCCCCCTAATTGCCCCAGGCTATAAGCTACTTGTACCTGGACAACTGCGTGCATCCAAGCGTGAAGTGATTTCCTGTAGCTAATTAATAACACCTGGTTAAATAAACAATGAAACTTATCTGTGTGCATTGAATAAACAAGACTGACATTGTTATCCCGATTGTCAAAATTCAGCGGTAGGGAAACTTTTAAAATCGAAAATTTTGGTGATTTTTTTTCAAATCGGGAAATTAGGGCAATTTTTCTTTCCCGATCGGGAAAGCGGGATGAAAGGGTAAAATCGGGAGGATCCCGCCTAAATCGGGAAAGTTGGCATGTATGAGCACACTATGACTTACTTCAGTCTGTTGTAAGAATTTATAATCAGATTTTTCCCACGACAGGTTGGAGGGCAAAATGGAGAGTATTTTATTTTTTTAATTCTCATTTATGAAATTATATAAATACAAGATCATAATACTGTATAAGCAGAAATTTTAGCGAGAATTTAATTTTGGCATTAGTAGCGAGGCTGCCAAGAGCGCTAAAATTGAATATCGCTAAAAATTAATTGCGCTTTATTTGTAATAGCTTCTTTAGTGAGCTTTTTAACATCGCTAAAATTACATCTCACTAATAATAAAACACAATTTTTTAAGGACAAATCGCTAAATTTGCGTCTCGCTAAAATTTCTACTTATACAGTACATTGACAGGTTACAGTAGGACTTGTTCTATAGTCAGCTGTAAGAATTTCCTTATTCACATTCCCAATAAACAGATACTTGTTCTACTTGTTTTCTAGATATACATGTACATACATGTAAATGTATAAAAAAAGATCAGGTCTTATCCTGGATGTTTAAAACTTTTCTGCTCATTACAGGTTATTGAAGTACCTGTCTGAACATTTGAAGTTATGGGAGAAATCATTGCAAGAAATAAAAGATGAGAACATTAATCAGCTAACACAAGACAAGTAAGATTTAGTGGATAAATTATACATTCAAGTAGCTTACGGTAAAAGCACATATTTTCCTGGGGTCAAATTTTCAAGGTTTGGGGGAAAAAATATTGGTTTGTTTGGATTTGATGTCATGGTTTGGAATATTTTTAGTAGTAATGTTATGAAATTTTACATTTCTTAGTGGTTTTAAATTTGTTGCTCTGTCCATACCTCGAAAACAGCGAAAATTAAACTCCCACGAAATTAGTGATTTCACAGTATTTCATATATGCACTGTTTTATTCAATATGTTACTTTCACAGATGGTGCCGTGGGAAAGGGGAAAAAATTGGGGGGGGATAAATTCTGTGGTTTGTGGGATTAGGTTATATATTGTCTAAGTCAGTGAAATATTTAGGTCTGATCATGTGCCTGTTTTAACTGTTTGTCCTTGCCACAGGGTCCTGTTGGTAGGCAGACTGTGCTCTGCACTAGGAGATATGGTTCCAGCTCTTCAGCAATGCATCATGGGTAAATCCGCTATCCATGGGACAGATAGTCACAGGTAAAGTTTTAAAAATAGTTTGAAATCTGACGTATAAAGGCAGTTATGTTAGATATAGAATTTTTAGATAATCTGAGTCACTGTTATCTATATAACTTTTCACACTATATCTACTTACATTAGTTGGATTTACAAAGAATTTAGTGATATCCTTATTGAATTTATCTAAGAGCTACTCTCCCACAGTTTGTCTTCATTCTCAGCACTCAACATTTCTTCCACAATTATGGACCATTTCAATAAGTTTTGGTGAACAAGAGCATTATACTAAGATAAATAATTCTATTATTATGAACAGCTTTTTGATTTGACAAGTTTTTAAGTTACTAATTAAAATATAGAAATATGTGGGAAGTTTTGATCTTATTTCATTAGACTTGATACACAAGTAGACAATACTAAGATACACTGAGTACACATCATTAAAACTACAGGCTCATCAAAGGCTTTTAAAATTTTTATTTATTTGCTTGTTGTTTAGTTACTGTAAAATTTATTTGACAGAGGACAGAAAAAGCCATCTTCTCATAGTAGCAGTAAAAGTGTAGAAAATCCTGAATGGGTCAAGACGAAAGAGAGGCTGTGTGTCACAAAGAGGCTGTAACATTTACCACAGTGTAGAAAAAAGAGGCATACAGGTAACATTTACCCAGACAGTGTAGAAAAGCTGTGTAACTGTCACAAAGAGACATTTAGTCAGTGTAGAAACATCACAAAGAGGCATACTTTTACCTAGTCAGTGTAGAAAAGCTGTGTAACTGTCACAAAGAGGCATACAGGTAACATTTACCCTGAAAACAGTGTAGAAAAGTTAGTCAGTGTAGAAAAGCTGTGTAACTGTCACAAAGAGGCATACAGGTAACATTTACCCAGTGTAGAAAGTCACTGTTGCATACAGAAAAGTCAGTGTAGAAAAGCTGTGTAACTATTCACAAAGAGACATACTGTTACATTTACCTAGTCAGTGTAGAAAAGCTGTGTAACTGTCACAAAGAGGCATACAGGTAACATTTACCTAGTCAGTGTAGAAAAGCTGTGTAACTGTCACAAAGAGGCATACAGGTAACATTTACCTAGTCAGTGTAGAAAAGCTGTGTAACTGTCATAAAGAGGCATACAGGTAACATTTACTCAGTCAGTGTAGAAAATTGTGTAACTGTCAAGTAGAGGCATACAGTTACATTTACTTAGTCAGAAAAACTGTATAACTGTCACAAAGAGGCATAAGTTAAATTTACCTAGTCAGTTTAGAAAAGCTGTGTAACTGTCACAAAAAAGCATACAGGTAACATTTACCTTGTCAGTGTAGAAGTGCTCTGTACTGTCACAAAGGGAGATATAAGTAATATTTACCCAGACAGTGTAGAAAAATGTGTAACTGCCACAAAGAGGCATACAGGTAACATTTACCCAGTCAGTGTAGACAGGTTGTGTAACTGTCATGTAGCGGCATACAGGTAACATTTACCTAAACAGGTCATATCATTACAAGACAGAATCTCAACCCTCTCATGAGTTGAACAATTATAAACTAAATGATTTTACCAGATTCATGAAATATTAGATAATTCATTTTCAAGCATCTGTCGACTCGGACAAAAGCAAACTTGCATGCTTTGATGGATGCTTGTGCTTTTTTTGGTAGTTCTTGAAAATCATGTTCCTAGAGTTTTATTTTCTCTCAAAAGGAATGCTCAAAAGATGATTGTTTAGATCTGAAGAGTATGCCATTATTTAAATGCCAAGATGACGTACTTCAGATAAAAAATTAGTAGTGTTTAGTAGAATTATATTTAATACGATGGTTATGCCCTAAATAATAGAAAGCAAAAACAGTATGATCATAGAGATGGTATTTCCTGGATGTCTCTGCTTTCCATTTGATTGGTGCTCATTTCCTTCAACATTATTTTTTATCTTTATGTAATGGATTCTTGATTTAAATAAGTTAAAAGTCTGTTGATATTATAATCAAAAAATGTGTAGCAAAAAAAAAAGAAAAGATAAATGACATTTTATAATGATCTGTTGTCTTTGATATGGATACAGAGATACATGTATCACTTTTATAGTACATGTATTATGAAAATTGAATGCAAATTTCATTGAGTAGAAATTTAATTTGGACTTTTCCTTTAGAATCTGGGTGGACCACTTAACAGAGACTGTGGTGTCCAGATTCAGGAGTGCAGTTTGTTCCAGAGAACATAGGAATGCCCTCATTCACTGTACAGTGAGTTCTATTGTAGTTTTGTATTATTTTGCTATATAAATGGTACTGTTCTTTGACATGATCACAAAATAATGAATGTTTGCTGAAGAGGTGGGATGAGGTCAACATAGAGGAAGAAACCGAAGATGGGAAGAAGATCAGTTCCAAAATCAGGGTCCCAATGCAGGTAAAGAATCCTGGAATTCTTACAAAAAGAGATTTTCTTCACTACCATATGACTTTTATATTTAATATGTGTTTTACAGTTATAATGTCAAGGCAAATTTTATGTTATGAATACCTCAAAACAAATCTAATATTATGATTACGTCAAGGCAAATCTGACAGCAAGATTATCTCAAGGCAAATCTAATGTCATGATTACCTCAAGGCAAATCTAATGTCATGATATCTCAAGGCAAATCTAGTGTCATGAATACCACAAAACAAATCTAATGTCATGATTACCTCAAGGCAAATCTGACAGCAATATTAACTTAAGGCAAATCTAATGTCATGATTATCTCAAGGAAAATCTATTGTTATGATTGCCTCAAGGCAAATCTCATGTCATGATTGCCTCAAGGCAAATCTGATGTCATGATTGCCTCAAGGCAATCTAATGTCATGATTGCCTCAAGGCAAATCTGGTGTCATGATTGCCTTGAGGCAAATCTAATGTCATGATTAACTCAAGACAAATCTAATGTCATGATTACCTTGAGGCAAATTAATGTCATGATTAACTCAAGACAAATCTAATGTCATAATTGCCTCAAGGTAAAATTGACATCAGGGTTATCTCAAGGCAGATCTAATGTCATGATCACCTCTAGGGCTAATCTAATGTCATGATTACCTCAAAGCAAATCTAATATCATGATTACCTCAAGGCAAATCTAATGTCATGATTATTTCAAGGCAAATCTGATGTCATGATTATTTCAAGGCAGATCTAGGGTCATAATTACCTCAAGGTAAATCTGGGGTCATGATAACATCAAAACAAATCTGATGTCATGATTACTTCAAGGCAAATCTTATACCACCTTTCCCTCAGAATTTACTTAAAAAATAAATCCAGGACCTGTTAGGGTTACTAGTAATGTAGTAATAGTTTGTGTGATTGTACTCTGCAGGCCTCCTGGTATGTCCAAGATCTGCTGTACAGTCTGTGTAGAGAAATCAACAGGGTGGGAGGGCATGCAGTGCAAAGGTATAGTATTACTCTCATTGAAAGATATATACCGTATAAGCAGAATTTTTAGTGAGAATTTAATTTTAGCATTATTAGCCAGGGTGCATAGATTGCTAAAATAAAATATATCTAATAATTAATTACATTTTATATGTAATAGCTTCTTTAGTGAGCATTTTAAAATTGCTAACATTACATTTTGCTAAAAATTGAATACCAATTTTTGAGGACAAATCGCTGAATTTGCCTGTCACTAAAATTTCCACTTATACGGTATATAAAGTAATTAATATAATCAATTGTGATCCACAAAATCCTCAAATCTGGATTTCCTGTGAAAATGATGACTCTTCAAGATGCAAAATAACATAAATATATTTTTTCCAGGGGTACATTGCAACAACTTGTCTTCAAAGTATCAGATGCAGTAATGAAATGCTTTGAAGAGGTTATTTCTCACAGCAAGAAGAATGACAAGGATTATCTTCCTCTGACTCAACAGAGGGCTCTTCAACTCATCTTTGACATAAAATTCATCCTACAAATAATTCCCAGGAAAGATGACACTGTGGTATGTGTTCTTATCCATTTATTAATTCTAAGACAAAAATGTTAAAGAACATGAGCAATATGTTCATCATGTTTAGAATACCAAATCAATTCACTGTACGAGAAAGTGTTCTTTGAACTGAAAAGAAATCATTCCCAGATAGGAACTTATGTTGAGATCTGTGAAGCTTTTTAGCTCACCTGAGCCGAAGGCTCAAGTGAGCTTTTCTGATCACATTTTGTCCTTCGTCCGTCCGTCTGTCTGTCCGTCTGTAAACTTTTCACATTTTCGACTTCTTCTCAAGAACCACTGGGCCAATTTTGACCAAACTTAGTACAAAGCATCCTTGGGTGAAGGGGAATTTTAATTGTTAAAATAAAGGGCCAAGTCCCCTCACAAGGAGAGATAATCAAGAAAAGACAAAAATAGGATGGGGTCATTAAAAAATCTTCTTCTCAAGAACCACTGGGCCAGAAAAGCTGAAACTTATGTTCCTGGTATAATGTAGATTCTAAATTGTTCAAATCATGACCCCCGGGGGAAGGGCAGGGCCACAATGGGGAATCAAAGTTTTACATAGAAATATATAGGAAAAATCTTCGAAGAACCACTGGGCCAGAAAAGCTGAAACTTATGTGGAAGCATCCTAGGGTAGTGTAGATTCTAAATTGATCAAATCATGACCCCCGGGGGAAGGGCAGGGCCACAATGGGGAATCAAAGTTTTACATAGAAATATATAGGAAAAATCTTTGAAAATCTTCTTCTCAAGAACCACTGGGCCAGAAAAGCTGAATCTTATGTGGAAGCATCCTGGTATAGTGTAGATTCTAAATTGTTCAAATCATGACCCCCCGGGGAAGGGCGGGGCCACAATGGGGAATCAAAGTTTTACATAGAAATATATAGGAAAAATCTTTGAAAATCTTCTTCTCAAGAACCACTGGGCCAGAAAAGCTGAAACTTATGTGCACATGGAAGGATCATAGGGTAGTGTAGATTTCAAAATGTCTAAATTATGATCAGTGGGGTAGGGTGGGGATGCATTATGTATTACAAGGGAGAAATCTGGTAAAGAACAGAATGGTCAAAGCTTCTCAGGTGAGCGATGTGGCCCATGGGCCTCTTGTTTTGATGTATTATAGAAATATTTTTTTCTAAGTGGGTCATATTCATGTAAATTATGTGAATTCAGTAGTTCAATGTACTTTTTCCCATGCGGGTCATGTTTGTTTTAACTCCATGGTTACAAAAAGTCTGCAGAATTTTATACCGCGCCAGACTAAAACTTCATAATTGTATAAATTTTATATTTGATTAGCAGAATTGGATTTATTAATTTAATGGAACTTAAATGGGTTAAAGACTGTGCAATCAATATAAATTTTCTTCTAAATGATTAATAATCAATGTAAAACTGCACATCAAACCTGATATCTCAAGACCATGTGTTAATCGTATCACATGTCAATTAATGATCCACAAATCTCAGAAATCCTGTCTAAACAGTTCTAAGTGTATTGAATTCCAGGGAATATTGTCTCTACAGACCAAACAGAAATTGCAAATCTGCATATTAAATATAACTCTATGAAAATAAATAAATCTATTGGTACTGAAGTTATTGGTTGGGGATAATGTATTTGGATTATTTCTATCATAATATGGCCTGTTAGTGGTGCTTTACTGGTTTGTTATTAAATGTTTGTTTGTTTGTAGGATAGTAAAACCTATCAGAAGTCAGCTGCCAGAATTATCGAGACTCTGGAGGAAAAAGTTGACCCGTTTGACCTGGATGTGTTCTCCCCCTACATGCAGTCACATTTAATGAAGCAGGGACAGAGATCAGCTGTAAGATCTACAATGTAACAGATTATTTAAGTGACTGAAAATCCTAAAAATTAGCATATTTATTAGCTTCATCAATTTTTTTTTTACACTTAGTGTAATAATTAATAATTTTAATCATTTTCTATGAAAAACTTTCTGATTATGTTATTTGCAATATACAGGTGTATATGTTATTAGAAATTCTAAGAACACTGCTTATGCCTAAATTAGATGGTTGCTGTGGTAACATTTGATTCTATAATAAAATCTCATGTTTTAAATGTAGGATCAGTAACTAACGCATATGAAGTGATTTACCAGTAATTCCAAAAAGAAATTTTGATGTTTGGGGGAAAAATGCTTTCTAAGTACATGTACTTGAAAATTTTAGAAAGAGACGGGAAAATGAGAGAAATCCGAATTATTAAAATTTAAAATTAAATCCTAAATGAGCATTTCTGTGTACTGCAACTTTAAATGCATATAAAGTATTTATCTTCCAGGTTTTATATGGAGCACTGACATCCCTGGATCGCCTGGGACTCTTCAGTATGGGGAGACCAGTTCAGTCTGGTCAGAGTGAACAACACAATGTCTTACCACTCACTTCCTGTCCCGGCCGGTTCACACTCCTCCCCATCAGTACTCAGCCAATCAGATCGTCTATACAAGCACCTGTCATACAACAGCCTCTTTATAAAGCTAAGGTATGATCAGGCTTCATACAGTTAGGTGGTCTCTGTGAGATTATCTAGTGGAAAATATTGGGAACAAATGAATGACTCATATTTGCTGTTTCTACTGTAGAAAATAGTAATATTTTATCTATTACTCATTATTTAATATTCTGCTCACAGACTTCAGAGCCTCATTCCCACTCCCTGACTGCGAAAGCTGCAGCCGTCCTACCACAGACAAGCACCATACAGAAGGAGAGCTCCTTCTACAACAAGCTGGGCAGTATGTCTAGCATGTCCGAACTGTCCAGCTGGTTCTCCAACATTGGCTCCAAGTCCTAACGTGGACCGTGTGTATACATTCCCAGTACTGGACCCTAGAATTGACATCAACTGTGATCATCTTTAATTTATATTACAAGGCTAGCCTTGTTTTATGTCCCAGCCTTGAAGTGTTCTGGACATTCCAGACATGAATTACAGTAATGTGCCTGCAATATTTGCAGAGAAAAATTTTTCCTTTCTTTTCTATTGATGATGATAAATTTATGTCCATTGACTAATTTTCAGCAGTTATCCTTTGATTTATTCAGATATTGCCCTCCCCCCCTTCCTTCTTAGATATTTCAGTATTCAGTTCTTGTCTTGTTGACTCAAAGATGGAGTTCCTTATTTTTACCAACATTTAACAGTTATAGCCCTAGAATTCAAATTCATGCTTTTTGTTTGTCAACATAATTTGAGCAATGTCATACCTCTTATAACGGTTCCTAACAAAAATCATGTCTGCTTGAAATAAAACTTTATAAAAGTTCAGATATATTGTTCATGTATGGGGTATTTGTATAAGGATTTGAAAATAACATTATTTATGATATACATGCTATTGTATACATATATGTATAGAAAACAAATCAATAAATTGTGGATTTTATTTCATTTTATTCATTTCATTAATGAGTATATATTTCATATAGTACATGTGTATATAAATATTGCATACATTAGAATGATGGGAAATTAATAAGTAGAACAACTTTTTAATGAAATAATAATGACAATTAACAAGGCAACTAAATACATAACCTTGAAAGCTGACATTGGGTAAAAATTTAAGGTCACAGGCATCAAACCTTCAAAAGATTTTGAAGGTAATTTCCAGTTAATTCAAATGTCCTTGCTCATTTTACAGTAGCATTGTCAGGCAATCCTGTATCATCTTAATTTGAACTTTCTTGATTCTCCCTGAGTAAAATGACCACTCCCTTAATTGATCCAGAACAACTACTGACATAATTTTATCTACAATTGTCTTTATTAATATCAACAGGTATTTTTTTTCTTTTGTTATCTTTGGTTTTCACTATTTAACCTATCAAAGGAACAGAGTTGTGCATAAAATGAAACATCAATAACCTAGGATTATTACTTAAGTATTACAGTTTGATACAGTTTACATGTGTGATATGTGAATACAAGCCTGTAGTTAATGCTCACAAAATGTTGAGACCAGTTCTAGCACTATGACAATTGTTCCAGCAGAAGCAATTTTACTGAACACTGTACAAAAGTGCATTTCAGAGAAGCGAAAATGAGTTTCATCTAACATTAACCTTTGGTTTGAATGCTACAGATCTACAACAGTGAACAAACGGTTAATTAGCACACCTATTGAAATTCATATAGTGTCTGTTATTTAATCCAAGTTATATAAACCCTTCACCTTCATTAGCAAGCCACCGTTATTAAAAATATTTTGGACGGATTACAAATGTGATAAAATGTTGATATTCTCTAATTAAGTGATTTAAGGTTAAAAACTTAATAAAATAAAGAAGGCACCAATGTTGGTATATATGAAATCAAAACATCAGTATATTGATCAAGTGACTTGCATAGCATTTTTTTCTCTCCCGATGAAGCAGTATGCTCAATTGTTCATTTTTAGGGAAATGAGAAGACTACAGTTACTTAAATTTAAGTACACAAAAAAATTAAAATCATTTGTTCACATTTAAATTGTGCCACAGATCCAGAAAACAAAGAACACAGCAACCAGATCTAAAATAATTGTAATGGACGTTTACAGACAATGTATAAGCAAGCACCTGTGGAAATCAGTGATTTCCAGTCAAAAATTCCATAAATCTTGACTCACAACACTGGTTAAAAATCTGGCTGGATAAAAGATAAAATACAAAATTACTTGCACTGCTGCCCTTAATATACAATGCGGCAATACAGAATACAACACAACCATACAATCAACGAAGCATCTAACAACACACAACCGCTTAGCTTGCCAGGAAAAAAGCCTTTTATACACACTGGCTGACAAATATTAAAAACAACCAAATGATCTGATAAAAACACATATAAGATTCAAACTTTTTTTTCAATCGATAACATCATTTCAAACAGATCTTTCAATAAAAATTAAAATAGGTTGAACAGGTTATTTATATAAAATGTTAATAAATTACATAGTAAAACTGTGTTTTAGGTTTGTCAGTCTCACTTACACAGCAAAAATTTGATTGTAAACATACAGTGAAGGATAGATTTATATCAGTTATTCAACAAAAAAAATCTTCTCAAAAAGAAAGTCAAAACAAAGAACTATAACTCAGACCTTCAGTTCATTCCCACAGTAAAAAAAAATACGCTCCTACAACATGAGCTCCTTTGGTCAATATCATCGAAATACGTACGGAGGAGCAGTTCATCCAGGATAATGGTCAAATCTGTGTCAATTCTTAATGGATAATGGCTAAGGGAGACAAGCAGCTATCAGCTGTGAGATTCCTTTCGTATAAGTGAAACAATTTGCTCGTGGATTTCATACAGTTCTGTCACTTTACTGCCGAGTTGATCTTCCAGACGAAGTAGCTCGGAACTTTCTTGATCATGTGACATGTTTCTCTCCGTCAATTGTCTCTGAAGATCTTCCACCTTTAATGTTAAATGTTCATTCTCTTCTTCTAATTTCTGAAAAAATAATTTCATGTTGACAAATATTATCATAAACTGAAAATAAAGTTAAACCTGCCACTTGCTAACAACTGAAATTTAACAGCCTTTATTGTCATAAAAACATTGTCAAATGTGTTTAATTATGTAAATTAAATTCATGGTCTTTGATTCCCCTAAAGGTTTGCGTTATATTGTACTTTTGCTCCTAACTCTAAAACCAGCATTTTTTACATCCGACATCCATCAAACTTTCGAACAAATTTCTTAAACTTATGCAGTTCAAATGTTTATTTTTCCTTTGCTATTTTACTAAAAAATAATTTGGACAATAGTGGATGTATTACCTTGCATCTGTTTTGCAGTGTAGAACTTTGTGTTTCTCTGGCTGATAGCTCACTAAGTCGGAGACTGAGTTGATTAATTTCCTACAAAATGGTATTTACATAAAATATTTTGTATCAATGTAAAATGAAACCTTTATCACTTACATGAGCTGTTTTTACCTCCCCTATAAGAAGAGTACTTATGAAGCTTCACACTCACATCCTGTTTGTCCTGGTTATCCAGCTGGACTCTCTCCAGCCTCTCTGTCAGCTGCTGTAACTCCGTCTGTAAGGCCGCCACCTGTTCTGATCCACTTTGTCTCTTCTCCAATTCCACAATCTAAGGATTAAAAATATTTATGCCGAATTTGAAGTTTTATTCTAATGCCAATAAATGGAGATGGAAAAAAAAATCCTGCAAGGCCTAAAGTACTGGGGAATACTTTCTCATACCATGAACTGACTCCAAATTACAAGAATATGAATTCAATGGACTGTTGATCTAGACTTTTTATATGGATTTTAGCAATACAAAAATTGATGCAAGTCATTTTATTTGTGAGAGGTATTTCTTACAAAATTGTTGGGCAATTTTTGGCAAACATTTAAATCTAGAGTGTTTGATGAAATTGAAATAAGTTTCAAGACATTTTTTATTTTGCAGCAGATCATATTTTCAAATGACCATCAAGAATGCTTTACATTGGACACATCATTCTATCATCAGATTTTTTAACATTAGAGGTTGTACCTTTTTCTTCATTTTGGCACTCTCTTCCTTGTACGCGGCCAGCTGTTTTTTCCACTCCTCCACATTAGTGGTGCTCTCTTGAAGTGCTGCTGTCAGCCGAGCGTTGTTGTTCTTCAGGGTCTGTAACTCTACCTCCCATTTCTTGGCATTAGTAGAACTAACAATACAAAGCAATTATATAAGTGACAAAACCTTCCAAAAATATATTTCAAAGTTCTCTGATTTTTATTTTTTCATGAATATTATCTGATTCTTTTAAATCACTAAGGCCCTTCATTGCCACACCTCTGAGCCAGTGCTAGCTTCAGTCGGTCGTTTTCGTATTTGAGTTGACTTTCTGAGGCGTTGTTAGAACTATTGTTAGGGGAACCCGGGGTGTTGAAGGAATTCCTCCTCTCTCTCAGATTGACATCCTGTTTAGATGTCTCCGAGCCCTACAAACATTCAAGTTTAATTTAAATTGCATAAACAAATTTAAGGAACTAATTGTATATCATAATAAGTCAATCAAAGAGGTATTTATAGCGTTGTTTTGGCTTTACTTTTCTTGTCTTAATTTCAAAAACTCTGTTTTTTGGTTTTGTAATAAAATCATTTGCATGTACCTCAACACCTGCATGCAATTAGTGAAATAATAATTTATATAAGATTATTGTATAACCCCAATAACAGAACTGTTATATAATCCTTTTGTACAGGTGAACCATCTATATGACAATGTTATAAAATATACAACTTAAAATTTATATAAATGAAAAAAAAAAAACATCCACCAAAGAAAGTCATGCACATTAGTTAATATTTCTCTTTTTATCTACTTTCTTACATCCAAATACAAGTCTTGCTGGGTGAAAATAAAAGCAGAATCAGGACAAGCATTTTAAATTTTAGTTAGCATTTACAATTAAAATCTTTCTCATTCATTCCTGGTGTAGGCAAGCATAACATTGAATATTTGAAAAGTAATAATAGACGTGAATACACATGACATAAATCTTGTATGTATTAAATAGAGTTGGGCTTAGCGACCTTACATCACAGATGATCTCATTCTAAGTTGCCTACAGCTTAAAACAAAAATCTTATGCAGCATCTTTATGCTAATATTTTTGCCTCTCTATAAACATGTACTAACCCTTCTTATTATTTAAAAAAAAAAAAATGAATTTTGACCTCATACAAAGCAGTATAAGATCTTTTCAATTCAAATATTCACTCCAAAATGATTTGTGTTCATTTAAAAAAAAAATTCCACGAGTCTTCTTTCTTTTTTTTCAACTACAATAGCAAAGGGTTAGAAACAAAGGGAAGCAACCCACACCAACCTGCATGGCAGACAAACTAGAGCTTCTGTGATGCAAGAATTGTCTTGGTTGAGAGGAATTTGCGTGCTTGGAGGAGGAGGAGGGGTGTGACTCCTCATTCCCGTTCACCTGTGAGGTAGAGTTCTGATTGGCTGGTGGGGGAGTGGGCGGGGTCTGGCTAACCACCTGACGCGTCATCTCCTTCACCTCTTTGAATTTTTCAATAAACTGTATGCGAAGCAGAAGAAAATAAAATACATATTATATAACAATTATATGCATCAACTTATCATAAAATAATTACACAACCCTATATATATATATTTTTTTTCATTTATGTACTTTAATGGGGTTCAAATGTCAACTTTAAATTGTTATAAAACTTCAAAGAACCTTGAATCATATTGAGTTACATGAAGTTAAAATTGTCATGATCAATTGTTGCACAAAAAAATTTCAATTTGAAACTTCGTTTTGAAATTTATTGGTTACTTATAATTCAAAAGTTGTCATCCCTCGCTGAGATGTGGATATCCTTATTTCAACAAACTAAAGTAAAATGGTTCAAGTCATTTCTCTATATTAAAAATATTTAATAAATTCAACTCCAACAGTACATGGTACTGCATATATGGATTTTCTTTATAGGTAGAAATTTTCTGTATAATATATGAATCTTCCTGTTTTTTATGGATAAAATATCCTTCTGCCTGGTAGTATTTTACAGTGACAGTAATCTGTGTTGTATGTGATCAATCATTGAGATGATTAACGCGTCCTAACACTGACCTTCTGTAGCTCCAGCTCGGAGGGAAACCCCAGACCATACACCGTGTTAGCCCGCGGGTCCGACCACTGACCAAACTTCTGGGACGTCTTGGTGAAGGTCATCCCGGGAGTGATGGTGCTGTTGACGATGGCCTAGCACAGGAGAGAAAAGTTATAACGTAGGCTATACAGAAATTATTCATCAGTAAATATAGCATGTATCTGAACTGTATAATACTTCAATTGGTTAAAATTATTCAAGTGCATGTATAACAATTCATAAATGAAGAATAGAAGTATTATAATAACGATTTTCATCACTTATACTACATGTACTTTGTGATGAAAATGTACTACGGTACAAATGTACTTCAATCTAAATTTGATTTATATGTCAAGGTAACATTTAATCTATTAAATTAGTGAGTGACCTTAATTACTATATATAAATTATATATCAAGACAGCAATTAAAAAGCTGTCGTCATAAAAAATAAATTATAAATTACTTGGTTTCTAAAAAAAAACTCTGAGAGATGTGAGAGACACTTTTTTTTTAAACCAAGAGAAAACTTATTGCATTCTAAATGTCAGATACAGTTTAATTTATTTCAATGTTTCCAGCTAAACTCCCCAGTTTCTGTCTAAAAAAGACAGATATAAACCTAACATCCCTGAAAACTGCCTACTTTATCTCTATCATGCCTTGATGTAATTTTTACAGAATAAACAATTTCATTTATCTGCGGGATTGGTTTCACTTTGGATAGCTTTGAATCACAACTTAGGAATCTCAAAATAATTTCACATTCACATCATCTCTCAGTTAAAAAAGCCCTAGTGAAAACCAGCCACTGGCAGGAAGCCTGATGGTCTACTGCTGAGAAGAAGAGCCCATCTTCTTACATAATTCAGAGATATGGTACAGATTTATGATACCGTAATCACTTGATCACATCTCTTAAATATGCCCAACATAAAAAATTTTAATACCCGCTAACACAGGCACTAAAAGTACATGTACATACTTGAGTAAAGGGAGGAAAATAATACTTTATATGAATGCTGTTTGATTTTTTTTTTTTAATCTTTCATTGCAAATGTTTTGCTGTAAAACTGAAGTAGATAGGTGTATTATATCATCATCTATGGACACATTAGATATACTGGTATCTTAAATTAAGAGTTTGACATTCTGACTCAATTAATATTTCATTATTTGTATAATTAGGTTTGTGAACTATACAATTGAACATTTTGAAAGAATGATTATAAGCATGATTTCATTTTTTTCGTTAATTTACAATACCTCTCTGAATTACACACTGTTGTCTATACTACTCTCTGTGAACTTTGTTGTATTTTTATCAATGCTTACCTGTATTTAAAAGAATACATGTGTTTTTTTTTTTAAATTGTCAACAAAGCTGACATCTGTTTCTAACACCAGATGTCTGTCACTAGTAGGTTGTGAGTTCCCATGTTACAGTGATCTCACCTTGGATCCGTCCACACTGATGATGCGATAAGTATTCCGCGTCGTGTCATAGTAATACGAAACACTGGCAGCACTCTTACTGGCCGGGATCCAGTTCTTCTTAGTGTCCGGATCTATCTGGAATACATGTGCTTTCGTTGTGAAGATGGGCTGTTCCCTGTCAAACATAAACATGTAGGCATAAAGTAACAGACAAACAATGCTGTGGTCACCTTGATGTAAATCAACCAAAGGCATTCTCATATTTATTATACCTTTTCAGTGACTGAATTAATGCCATTTTTAAATTTGTCTAAATTTTGATTGATGCCACTCTAAATACATCAACATGCATGCTTCCTAATACCTTTCTCCAAGGTGAAAAGTTATAAGTACCGTAATGCAATACATTTTTTAAATGTAAAATGTTTGTTTTTATTTCCTCCATGAAATGATGTCCCATGGTATTGGAATAAGGAAAACATTCTATGTTAACAATAAAGTATAGTTATAACTTGTGTTACAATAACAAGCATGCATAATTAAGCACTCGCGCACAAAAGATGTATGACCATATGCTTAAATGCCATTTAAATCAATAAAAAATTTATGTTCAGTGATTTCCATATCCAGAGAATACCATCCACGCACTGTCAATGCAATACTTTATATTAAATGGAAAAAAGAGCATCAAAATATCCTGAATAAACCTTAGATATATCTTACTTGACAGTAACCTCGGTCCAGTCATCGAAAACTTCATCATCCATAGTCCCAAAATCTCCAAGTCTGAATTGTATGACGGAATCTGTGGACCTTAGAGGTCCATGTGACAGACTAGAAGACATGACAATATACCTCCAGCACACAAATATCTGTCACGGAGTCTCACTAAGTCCTCATCCACTAGTACACCATATTCCACTTATACTGACTCAATAAAGTCATTAACCACAGTCTGTTTCTTCTGAACTAGTATATAGAATGTTTAAGCTTGCCTTTCATGCACTTCCCCAGAGTTAAGTGAATAATATAGCTTAAAGCTTCAAAATCTGATTGATTTCCTCGAGATATATTAATCTGATTAGCACTATCATTAAAATCCAGTTCTATTGATTAAATTGCACCTGACTAACAAGTTATCCACTATGAAGACCTGCTCCTAAGGTCAGATGTGACCCCAAGGGGTTTTTGTCTATGTGGGTCACTGGCCACCAATCAACAAATCATTAGCCAATAAACATCCAAACCCACTTCATCAAAACTAGGTAGCTGTCAGACAAATATTTCACTTTCATTCCACAAAACCTCTGTAAATTTTAATCACAGCTTTAAATTTGTTGGCAAGGGTTGGCATATTGCAGAATTTGTGACTTTATCAGCTGTATTTCAGTGTTAGATGTTCCACACAAGCAGCTCCTTGTATTCTTATCTGATTTTTCTATTTTGTTCCCTCCAGCATTACACAGTCAAAAAAAAAAAATCAAGTCTTTTTATAGGCACCAAGACAGCACCTCAGTGATATATAAAAATATCAGTTCAGTTTCTGTCAAACTCACAGCTGACATCAAAATATCCATCTACATCAGTAACTAAAGATTGATGTTTCCCAGATGAGGGTAGATAAAAATCAATGATAACACAGATATACCTAGATTATCCACACATTCCTTCTCTCTTTCCACCTGTTATAATATTAGGACCTGTTTATTTCTGAGGAAGCCATTATTAATCTGATTTGATTTACAGGTCTCTTGTCAGACTTTATAACCCCAGACAAGTAAATAACTGCCCAGAACATACACCAAATAAACTACCCCCAGAGAGCAATGATAAAATCCAAACCATAATTGATAGGTCACCAGACATTCAAAGTTTCAAAGAAAGCTACTATTTTTTGCTTTTAAAAGGAGTGTGGTAGAGGTGGGGAATAGGGTGTTGAAACTTGATGAATTACCACTAAGGTAACGAAAACTAAAGATATTTGAATTTTAATTACATGTACATGTGCAGATCTAGAATGGGGATGGGGTCGGAATTGGCAATTATTAAATGTTAAACCAAGCAAACGTGACCTTGGACTCCACTAGAAACCTCCCATCCCTCCTTGGATCTGCACCTGAATTACCAGGGAGACTGGTGAGGCATTTGGGAGGGAGCTCTTGTTTGCAGATGTGGGCACCAATCAGAGCAGGGTAGGGCAGTATACTGAACAAAAAATGTCAAGTTTTTAAGAAGATGTGGAAACAATTTTTTTTATCTCTTTTGTATCCATTCTATCATCACATGAATCATTTAACGTACGAGTATTTTACAATCATTTATTAGTTCTTGTCTTAGTCATTTACAAAATAAGACTTCATGTGAAAAAGTGAAATGATCTACATGTCAAGCAATAATTACCTGAGAAGTGTTATCTGCATCATATTGATTTCATTACACATACCTTTTTTTTTCAAAACAGTCCTTTTGATCTTTGGTCAAAGAAAATTCCCCTGTCTGACCAACACATATTGGAAATTAAGGGAGCAAATATGGTATAGATTTCTTTAAAAATTTAGCATACCAGACTTGTATATCTATTATGATTTAATAACAAAGTTTATTATAAGGAAGTATACTGATATCCATAATACTGTGCAAATATAAAACTACTCATTATTATTTTGGAGAGAAAAGTATATAATACACAATATGTGAGGACTGGCCTCTAAAACATGAGCAAACAAAGTTGTAAGATACATAAAACCCCACATATCCCTGCTGGAGAATTGTACATCAACTAACTGAACAAAGCACAAAACAGCAAGGGAACCAGCCATTCACATCAAGCTTAGAGATCTGATATTTTATATTTTATACAGTATTGATGCCACAAGCACTGTAGACAATCCTTAATTTCTCCAACTGTCTCTGTAAGACAAAGCTACTCAGCTAATTAATCAAGAAAAGTTGCTATCAGTGCAAACTTCTTCAAAGAAACTAAAACATAACCATCTTTTGATTTAAATTTAAAAGAAAAAAAAATTCATGTTGCTGTTTTAGTTGTGCAATAATTAATTAATTGAAATTTGAATCTCCGGGGTGGTGACAAAGACATATGAAATTGACAAGACTTGGATAAAGACTTCAGCTTCTTAAAATGTCTTAGATTTGCTCCATAAAATCATCATATGGGCCAATATGGCCATGTTTAAATTCAAAAATGAAATGAAACAACTTTCACTTTTCATGAAGACAAATTCAGGTTTTTATTTGTTCAGTGAATAATGCATTTGTATAGCTACATGAGATATATTTGAGTCAACATTTTTTTCTCCATAAATGAATCCATAAAATACTATAAATAGATTGTTGTAAATATTTACAGAGAGTTGAGGAAAAAAAACTTGTGAAGTAAATAGATTCCTGTACCAAACACCTGGACCTCTAAATACCATATACCTCTACAAGAAGAATTACTGGAATACACTGATTAATGTATTGAATGCACTTTTTGAAACTGGATTAGCAGTACCTAAAGTCAAAAAACTAATTATGTCAATTCTTAGTGTGAAACAGGAAATGTTATTTTTTTGATAGTGATATAAATGTAATCTTGACTGGCCTGGATTCACTGTAGTTATGGTCCTGTTACCTATAAAGTTGATTCTGGCAAAGTTTTCATATGTACATCAAAGACAAACATGATGTGTTAGCTACAACTACAGATTGATATAGGGTACTCTGATGTTTTGATGAAGCATGTGTTAATATGATACAAATTATCTGTTTTTACAAAAAACAACTTGAATGTTTTCTGATGTGTTTATAATAAAGTCAAACCTAATTACACTTGTATTACTGCAATATGTCACTTGTAACAGCAACTACCAATACAACTGTAGTTACTGTACAATGATTCTGATCTTGCAGTAAATGTCGAAATATTATTCATATTGATTGAAATTCAACATAAAACATGCAGGGTTTTTCTACCAATTAGATCAATTCAAAATCTTGTTTAAAAGTGTACCCAGAAATGCGTAAAAATGAAATGAGTTCAAATTAAACTCAAACAAACCATGCAAAACTTTATAGTAGAAAGAATACTTTTTATAATCTTGCCTGTCTGTCCACACTGAGTGATGCTCAAGCCACGAAAGGTCCTGTATGACTGACTCATCAGGTGTAGGGGGGCGTCTCCCTATCCCCGGGCTGCCAGGCAGCACCTTAATCCCTCTCCTTACTGCCCGTGGGGAGGGTGGTACTACCTGCATGATGTGTGACGGGGCATACCCCGGGGGTGGAGTGACGGGGGTGGGAGGAATCCCCGGGGGCACTCTGTCTGGGGTGGACGATCTTCCACGCACCCTGATGATACCGTTCTGTAGCACTGGTCTCTGATTTGTTCTTGGAATGGTGTTCTGTCTATTGACAGATATGACATTGGGTCCGGGTCCCTGGGTAGGAGGGAGGGAGTTCTGTCTAGTCAGGGAGTTGGTCTCCGTGGGGGTGCTCGGTGCCGATACATGCTGCCGGTCATTTTGGTGGGTGGAAAGACTGCTCGGTCCAGATAAGTTTGGTGGTAACACCACAGGAAAGTCTGGAGTGGGGGGTCGGTTTCTGGTGGAATCTGAACCAGAAACAAAAGAGGACATCCAGGACATGATTTTCATTGGAAATGTTTGTATTACGGAGAAATACGCACGCACCAAATTCCAGAGATAATAATTCCCCACAAAAATATATCAGTATCCTTTAGCAAAAACAACAGATTGAATTGGTTTCTCCTGCTGTCTGCCTCTTACATAATGAGTCTATAAGGTGCATAAGATATTCTCTTTTTCATGGAGTGTGTAGTCAGGTAGTAATATAAACACTAACTGTGTAGCTGTGCAATACCATCATCCATATTTCTCTCCCCCAAAGATAAAGGCCATGATAATCGATGCTATCTTCAAATGTATAATCCAAACTCCTAAAAGATAACCATGCAACACCTTCGGAACAGTAGGCTTCCAATAATATCTTCTTTTAATTATAATCCTTAAGTTTTTCTCTAAAATTGCTTTTGAAATCTTTGAGCACAGATTCTGTTTTTCAAGTCACAGAATGCTTCTCCTCACAGCATAGTTTCATTTGGGAGTTAAGAATAACTGCTGCAGCTATAAATTTAAGCATTGATAGATTGTAATCTCCTCTATCATCACACAGTTTTTCAGATCAATCTGGAGAAAGATTCATCAAGAGAGTTAATACTGCAGTATAAAGGCTGATACATGATCTGACTTATCGCCCTCTCTTGGACACCCCTTCCCAGAATACACAGGTACACGGAGCAATCAAACGGCAGCAGGGTTAAAACATATAAAAACAACAGCTACGGGAAATGGTTGTGTGATGTCAGAAACAGATCTACTCCACTGTAAAAGCGTAAATCTATAAGATCCAGATCTGTGAATTTATCAACAAATTTAATGGAAATATCTAAGTTACTGAAAGATAAAGACTTTTTTATTCAACAGACATATGATTTCCAAGTCAAAGAATTATTTCAACTGTCAGATTCATCTTGGCTGAAAATTTGTTTTTCTTTAATAGATACATAATTTTTCTGTGTAAAAACAACTAAATGTTCTTCCAACTTCTTAATATAATCAGAAGCACCTAAACTTTTAGTGCCATCAAAGTATCCCCTTCATCTTCTGAGAGAGACTGGTAAACCTCTCCCCTCCAGTGTGCTCTCAGAAGGAATATAAAACAGGTGCTCTCTGATTCTAATTACATCCTATTATCAGCTTCATTAAGAAGAGCATATTGTTTCTGATATCTCCATAACACACAACTTTAGCACTCTGCCTGCAACTTTGGTGTCAAAACATGCCTGATCAGACATAAATCTCCAAATAAGCCTATACTCTTTTGTACAGTATATTCAACACATTGTCACATACAAAATCCTCGGAAAATTCACAACAAAAGCACATGCACTCCCTCCCTGACTTCTACGGCTGTCTACAGAATGATTCTGATCTGCTACTGTCACTGAAATGTTTGGGAGCTTTGTGGTAACATTTCCCAAATGGAAAAGATTTTTAACAAACTACTATTAAACTATCAACAAACTACCAACAAACTATATTTTTGTGGTTTGTTAAAGTAGTTTGATAGTATAGCATTTAATGAACCACTAACAAACCACTTTTTCTAAAAATAGCTGCAGTGGTTTGTTCGTCTTTCATTTCTGGTGATTGTGATTTCTTTATAGTTTGTTAGACTTGGTATCTTGCAACAGTGTTTTATTAGTATAGCATTTGCATCTAACCACATGGGAAATTACTTTACAGACGTGTTTAGGGTTGAATTATCTAGAATTGTTGAAGTTTCCAAGAACAGCTTAATCTTTACATCCGGTGTTAGCTATTTGCGCCAATTTTCAAACCATCAAGCAGGTCAGAAACAAAGGAACTGCTGAAGGGACATTCAAATTGTTAGTATCAATCTGAAAGATCCCTGACTGGAAAAAGCAGCAATTAACATTATTAAAAGATGGATCTGGATACAGAAGAGGTATTTAATGCATGTCATGAAGTTCCTTTTTACCTAAAATAAGGCTGGACTACAGTAACCTTCTGTGAATGTGGATGTGTATACTTTTTACTAGCTTTGGGTTTTTATTTATTTTCAGATTGACCTAATTAATTCCTATCCTAGTTTAGATCAGTTATGCATTGGATTATGGGAAGTATACTTGAAAATAAGACAAAAAAGATGTCTTTCAAAGTTGCAATGAGGCCAGAAAAAAGGAAATATTGCAGCATTTTCCATGCCAGATGAAGCAGGGAATATTTAAATGTCAGCTTGGAGACCATTTTTTTGGTGAAAAATACTATGAAGATGTACACAACATGAAGGAGAATATGTGATAAGTACATGGATATTAAATTGGAATTGCATCTCCTAAACAAAAGGGAACATGTTTTGAATGTTGCACTTGCATTGGCTAAACTTGTGAATCCTGGAATTTAAATACTCTGAAACAAGACTTGTTGAATATTTCAAAATGTGATTGTAATAGGTGTTTTCAAAACTTGTGGATTTGCAAAGGAAAATTCAAATGTAGTGTTTTGCTGATGGATTTGTTACCAGTGATTTGTTAATAGTTTGTTAGAGTGGTTTGATAGTAGTTTGTTAGCGTGGTTTGATAGTAGTTTGTTAGAATGGTTTGATAGTAGTTTGTTACAGTGGTTTGATAGTAGTTTGTTAGAGTGGTTTGATAGTAGTTTGTTAAGAGTGGTTTGATAGTAGTTTGTTAGAGTATAGTTTGTTAGCTCATTTGCATGTGATTTGCTATACTATTAAACTACTTTCAAACCATAGTGGTTTGTTAGTAATTTGTTATAGTAGTTTGTTTGCCCTTTTTTTCCGTATGGGTTGGTATTCACTCTCGACAGGTTCACAGCAAGTGTTGTTCATCAACACTACACGCATCATCACAAGAAGACAAGCAGGACACTCACCCAGTCAGCCACACATGCTCATACAGATGTCTTCTCTTTTTATCAATGAATCAAGGCTCTTGCTGTTCAAGAGCCTTAGCTCTCAATTATCAAAAAAGGTACTTTTATCCAAATTGAAAGTTTCAATTTTCCGAATACATGTATAGTCATTTCTCCCAAAAATAAAGAAGGTTTTACTTGGATATATAAACCTTAACTTGCTATTCATATTCCTTTGTTAAACAAAAATTTAGTTGATAACAAAGATCAAAAACTCAAAATGTCATGATTTAAAGTACCGGGTATAATGGTTATCCCAAATTTCCCCCAAAGGCCTCTATTTTCCCAATCTTTATTACCCTGGTTCCATTCCCCAAAGTGGTGTGAGGGCCCTGTGAAGTGCTGTACATTTATTTTGAAAAATAATTTCAATAAAAGGAAATTAAAGGCAAGCTAAAAAGTATAAATGAAAATTTTGAACCTCCTGCAAACGAAGTCATTTTGTCTCAATCAGAATCCAAAAAGGCCTTTTCTTTTACTTTTAGTTTTTTCATAAATACATATGAACTAGATCTAAACTACCTATAAAGGATCTCTATTATTTCTCTAATGACTTGTCACATGTGCAGATATTCTAGATGCATAGAAAATCATTTTATGTAATGAAAATTATATATTAACATTAAAACCAGACATTAAAAGTACACCTGGCAGATATCACAGAAAAGGTTCATTTGATTCCATGGCTCAGAACAAATAAAGTCAATGCATTCATGTACCCCTTTACTGTTGGAGTCGACTGACAATCTATTTATAACAAAGAAAGATAACTAGTTGGCAAAATTTCCTCCTTCGTGCATATTTCCCCAATGCACAGTGATGGATAATCAGTCATATGCTATCTAGACTCTATCCAAGTCACACCAAGCATGAAATTAAACAACTTATAAATTATAAAAACAAATCTTTTCTTCACAAAAATAACTCAGATACTATCATCAGTTTATATTCAACATCATCAATCTGAATTCTTTAATATAATTTGAATATACAAATGTTTCTTACTAATAGCCTATAATCATTTAATTAAAATATGGACTCTCCACTTTAAAGAGTATTAATAAAACTTAAATACTTCTCCTGCCATTATGAATAGATAAAACCATTTTATTACACATATTACCAGGTTAATTACACAAAACATAACACACAATGTTTTAATTAGCAAACATACCACTGTACACGATTAAAATGAATAACACCAGGGGAAGGGAGGTAACTTTGTTAATGTACATTAAAACAATATGTTTATCCTTTTCAGTAAGTTAAAACAGATATATCTTGTAACATATTGTTCCAATAAGACAGTACTGATAAGACTATCTTACCTCCTGACTATACTAGAGACCCTGTATACCCGACTTTTTAATTCCGCGATTGTTTCCTCGATCATGCTCAATATTCAATCAGTGACGGCCACCCAATACACGGTGACACAATGAAATCCTCCTTATATAGGGTATACAACACCCAGGAAAATATAGAATAACCCTATTGAAATCGTTTTAAAAAATAGATGTGCCATGGATAAATGATTCCTATCACAGCGCTATGGCTCCATTTCCAATACATACACCCCTGTTGTTTAAATGACGCTTTCTGATTTGCGAGATTGATAAAAAACTGAAGAGCAAATTAAGCAACAGAAAGGGTACTTACGGTAATTTCCTTTGACCCACAACACCCATGTCCCCAGTACTACTGGCCATTGAAATCAAAATATAAATATTGACCCCTCCATCTAAAGAACCGAACAAAGCAGCAAATAGGTTAATACGAAGTATTATTGAAAGTAATATCAAAATCTGGGATGGATGAATGGAGATTCATTATAGGTACACAAACCAATTTCATCCTTTTAACAATCCCTCTTGTCAACAGACAGAACCTTTGACCAAAGGATTTAATCTTACTTATAATTTAACAATGGAACATCCCTTATTTTACTGTTATCTGATCTATGTATGATATTGACAGTTATTCCAATGCCTTTCTCTTCTTTTTCAACTATTTCTTTCAAAAGGATATCTATTCTCCATGCCTTTGAATTGCTAAAACTTCTGTTATATAAAAATAAAATAGAATCAGAAGATTTATAATTCAAAAACATGTTTTCAGCATTCAATGCTTTTTATACTGTACTTATTTTTACTTTCTTCTTTTTTAAAAAAAGCAAAAACTGCATCTTGTACAGTGAGACTACATCATTCAACAAAAAGTGACTATAGAAAAAGGACCACAGATGTATTAAATTATGAGGTGATATAAAAAATACATATGCATGCAATACTATGTCACCAAAAGGCTAGCAACTGAAGAAAAAACTCAGAAGTTAACTGATAAATCAGCTTCCATGACTGAACTTTACATAGAATAAGTGAACTGGGGTTCAAACTGGTGTTCCTCTGATCCACTCATCCAAAACATCCCAAATCCCATTGTACACTAGTTGTCTTAGAGGAATGTATTAACTGTGTAATTAAGTAGGTTAAAAATGCAATTACCTAAACTTACTAAAATCAATCAATGACTGAATGACTTTAAATTGAAGGTATCAGTGTATCCTCTTACAAACAGATCTGATTTCCTTATTGATGGTAAACAAGTTTGAACCAATACCCTGACAGGAATTTCTTACCCTGGTCTATTAGATAATTTAATCCCCTCTCTTTCCCTGTCCGGATAAAACTAGGTAGTAAATGTAATCTAAACAAATGGCTGTTTTATTTCTGACGAGACAACCTGACTTCTTAAATTACTGGATTAGACATTACCTTACAAAACATGACCATCACTTTTTCATCAATATTTTATCTATAAATCAAACATTTCTTTACAAACAACTGCAATAATCATGACAATCTTTATATTAAACTGCATTTGGGGAATAAAAAATGACTACATACCATAAAGTTTTGGCTTTTAACATGTATGCAGCCGACATTGTTATCCATTTAGAACATACCAATTTGTAACAATAGTCCACCCATGTCCAATACACAGCCCTAGCCTGTCTTAACACTCTGGACTTAATTTTCCTATTTTCACAGATTCTGTCTTAAGGCATGTAGTAATCCCTGGCCCACGTAGCAGTAGAGCTAGGTGACGTATGGACTGTGACGCCTGTAGCTAATACCTGATACCTGGCTCCTATTACAGAATCCCAGTCACCTCCATTCACCACCATCCCTCAACTTACAATCTAACCTAATAACCAATGTGTAATTGGGTAGAGTGAGCAAATGCCAAGAAATAACATTACATCATTTGCTATTCCCTAGGCCCTTAAATTCTTGCAATAGTATCATTTCTTCCCCACTGGGAAGACAAAAATGATGATAATACTTTCTGTTTCCCCTTTGTAATTAAACTGGAAAACTTTAAAGTGGTAATGAAAATTAAACTCAGTTACTGAGATAATAATATTGAATCAATCACTCTTGATATTTTGTATGCAAACTTTCATATAAAGAAATGTACATATATTATCTGTGAACATTCT